ATTGCATTAGCAAGTCTTTTTCATGATTAAGTGAACATTTCTTTTTAAATTACGAAATTGAAAACAATCCCCTTCAAAAACCTCCTCACATTGGCAATATTTCAGCCATGAACTAATTCAACTCCACGCTTATTTAATTTCATTATAAGGCTAAAGAATCACCCATTGCATTTACTCTGTGAAGATTATGTAAACTATCATGGAAGAAATTACCTTCCTTTCGAACACTTTATTTTGAAGTTCCTACCATTTAGAGGTCATGTCAATGAGCCATGAAGAGAAAGCACTCTCTTTCTGCACTGCATACATTTAATATGATGTGGAAAATGCAACAGTATTTCATAAGGGACATAATTTATGGGGGTGATATGATAATTTTAAGGGGGTCACCCATTTTGTTCTGGCGAGCTGGGAGGGGGAAAGAAATCAATTTTGTACACATGTACCGTGGGTGGGGTGGGGGTTCCACTGATTTTGTACATGACATGCAGGGGGTCACTTATTTTGTACATAAATATTAGGGGTTTGGGGGGTCATTCACATTGTACATGCTTCTCCATAAAAATCATCATCACCTGAACTGTCCCTATTTCAGCCGCTATCGTTTTTCTGTGTTTACATTTCACAACTTTGGAAGTACAATCAAGCATGCTTGTTACGAAGATATTAAAAGAGTGACATAATTCTCTTGCTCCTTAGGTTTTCAATCGAGGTTAAACATTCAATGCCTCACAAAAGCTTTTAAATGTTTTATGGTAGACATGTGCAGCAAATTTTGAAATTTGATGTATCAGTTGCAAAATGACGTCCCATTCAATTCCCTACTTGTCTTGTACCATACATTCCTGAATTGTTTTGAGGTGAACAACTCACTAGCCTTTGCATTAGTGTATAATGGTTGCCAGGATATGCTAACCTTTTCGTGTACACCTTGTAATCTCACTATTTGATAGTGATTCACAAAGACATGGTCATGATTGGTAAGATTTTACCATTGACTCTGCATTTGGCAGAGATTTCTTATGGACGTAAAACAGGTTTTTTTCATTTTGTACCTATTAGTCAGAGTTCATAAAAGTGCGGGAAAGGTGAGGCAGCATATTTGGCAAGGATATATAAACATACTTCAAGTAAACCAACACAGCCCTCTTCACCGTTTCCGCTAATATGGAGATGCATAGGGGCAAAAGAGTGAGGAGTGGTGGGATGTTTGGTGGGGATGAAAATCTACAATATTATTAAAATCTAAATATTTTACATATTTAAATACTTACCTTACCATAGGTCTTATGCATTCTAGAGAATGGCGAATCAATGACTGTCTGATCTCTTCTTAAGCTTAAGGTAATATGCATAAGACCTATGGTAAGGTAAGTTAAAAATTTACTTTATTGACTGCCAAGTATTCATACTGCAGGCAGATCCGCATGAAAGCAGAATTCCAAATGTCATGGTAGATGCCCATTAAAATATGATGACTTTTAATATTGATACTCAGCAGCAAAAAACATGGCTTCATAGTTTGCAGCATCTTTTGGATGTCTTTGAGCATGCAATGAAAACATGACGTTATGAACAATGATATATCACTGACTTAAACACTAAAAAGAAAAATTGTTAATTGGTACAACTTATTTCCCTGTGAATCACTTTGCATCAGCATGACTAAAATATTGAAACAAATTATTGCTTTAACAAATATCACACATCTGCTATTGAAGATCTACACAGACACTTGGTGCTGTCACAGACCTATATATCAATGACATACAGAAGAATCATGCCTTAAATATTTGAAATAAAGTCATTCCAAATGATAATTGCTTGACCCATTCAAACTTTATAGTTCTAGAGAAAATGTCTGTTTTTTAATCGTAATTTGCCATATGCTGTCCGTAACAAACAAAATAAATATTCCAATAATCATAAGTATAAAAATTCAGATGTATTATCTTAATTCTTAATCTTAATCTATTTGAAAGGCTGTAATTTGCAGCATGTCAGCAAAAGCCTGCTTTAAATGAACACAATTAAGTGCAATTTACACTTGTGGCATAAAATATGGACATCAGGAAGGTCATAAAACAAAAATACAAACTTAATTTCATTTTTAAAGATTCTTTGTTAAAAACATTTCATCCAATGATTTGATAGCTGACACTCACATTCACGAAGTGCATGCCCAAGGCTACTCGAAGAGAATTCAAAATTATCAGCAGATGATTAAGTGAGTGAGTTTATTTTTACGCTGCTTTTAGCATCTGATGATTAAGAAATGGTTATTCAAATTATAGAGACTACAGACAAAGTGCCCAGTGACCTTAGGTCAAGGTGAACAAACTTCCGCCAAGTGACAGGTCAACATGAAAATGATATTTGGGGTTGCAACCCAGTGTATACAAATAGAACATCCTTTCTTCAAAAATAAATCAACAAAGACTATGCGATCAAATTGTTAAACTGTGAAGACCTCAAAATGTGGAAACAAACACATGGCTCAACATGCACGATGACAAATTTAAATTAATTATTTCAAATTTATGGACAAAATGTTACATAAAAATCATGAAATAATGCTCATTCAGTGTAACTGTAACAAGATGACATATCCACAAATATTACAGAAACATCCAAGATGTAAATAAAGTATAGGTGCACTTAATAACCCAGGACACCGTGAACTCCTTATCCTTGATCTTACAGCAACAATCATTCACTTTCTTGGAAAACCAAGCTGCATATTTTGCTACACTTCTCCAGAACCTGTATACAGGCATGTCCTACTGAGTTAGCCCTAAAACCTCTCATCCCCACTGGAAAAATGTTAGAAGGTTGACTAGGTTTGGGTGAAATGTCCCAGCTTTGATTGAAGTTTCTTAAAATGTAAGTGTGTTTTGATTTATGGCAATCTGTCCTTTTGTGATCGAATTAATAACACAAAATATCTCAGTCTGACTGTAACATCCAGACACAAACTTGAAATAGGCAGCAGGAAGTGGAGAGTAGTCTCCCTTTAACAGAAAAGTTCCATGGGAACAAGGTGCTAAAGATTCTGAACCTCCTAAAGCAGAAACAGTATCAGCTATTGATAGCTGATTCAAGCAAGCTAATGGCAACTTTTTTCACATCAGTCAATCCCCAACATTCAGAGAATGATGTACTACTAAAAAATAATTAAGGATTACCTAATTCATTCATATTACTTCAATTAATCCATCATGCCACGACAGACTAACTACAGCAATATGAAAGAGTGAGTAAGTGAGTTTAGTTTTACGCCACTCTCAGCAATATTCCAGCTATATGGCAGCGGTCTGTAAATAATCGAGCCTGGACCAGACAATCCAGTGATCAACAGCATGAGCATCGATCTGCGCAATTGGGAACCGATGACATGTGTCAACCAAGTCAGCAAGCCTGACCACAATATGAAAGAATGAAGATGATGTCAAGTATAACCGGCAATTGATCAGCAACATCAACAGCTCACAGCTTCAACAACTACAGTGATATTATCACAGATGGAAGATCTTGATAAATGCTGACTCGTGATATAATATTTTGATTAGCAATTGGAGTATGTTAAAAAACACTGTAAATACATGCTGTGAAGATGTCTTGGCAGTTGGTACCAGAATATGTAGAAGAGTACTGTGAAAAGGTAGCACATGACGCATCAGTAAATATTCAATCAGAAACCTGAATAAGGCTGAGAAAATCTGAATGATTAATATACCACTCCACTTTTGAAAGGGATATTTTCTTATCTTTCAATGACACATACAAATGATCCTCGTGTCAGGTTTGTATACAAATAGGACACGTAATCATCCCAATTAAGTGTAAAGTAGTATAATCATAAAAACATTAAGAAAACTTGGCACAGTTTCATTTGGTGAATCTTAATGGATAATGCTTGATAACACCTTAAATAGGTGACACCTTAAAGACAAGACACATAGAAAGTGAACAGTAATATTTCAGAACAGTCAATAATGTTTGGTCTTGTTCCGTAAACATTTTTTAATATCAATGCATGTAAACAGGGGTTCAATTTTTTTTTAAAAAGCCACTTGCCACAGGGCAAGTGACTTTAAGAAAGTAACTTGTCCTGACCAATTTTCCACTTGCCCTGATTTCATGAAATAATCATGATGATGTAATTATGAAAGAATAAATCAACATGGTATTTGATGTTAATGCTTACTGGACTATTTATTGAAAAGTGATAAATAGCAAAGAAAGATAACTCTACTTTATTATGATTGCGAAATTTAATAGCTACATTTTGAGCAGATATGAAATTAAATCCAAGTTTATTTGCAGTTTGAAACCATAAGTGGAAATTATCTAGTAGACCACGGACAAGTAAGATACCATTGTTTCATTGCCCGAAATGAAAACTTACTTGCCCCGGGCGTCGGGCGATGGGATTTTTTAACCCCTGATGTAAAGACTTCATTCTGGACCCTAAAACAAAGGTTATCTTTCCTCACTGAACCTATACCTCGCAAAAGAAGTTCAAGACCCACATTCTTTCATTAATGACTGCTATCTTTACAAGTGCTCTGAAATCAATTCAGTGTATGAATCATTGGTACACAGAAATCCATAACCAAACCATTTTGTACAGGCTCTTCTACTAAACATATGCTAAGTACCAAAATAGTCATCTTAAGTGTTAACTTGTAGTTCTTAACAAATGTTGAGTAGAATATATATTGATGGAAACAAATAAGGGAACACCACTTCATTGCGGTGTTCCTTTATTTTTAGACCCACAGTGCAATACAAAGCTTGTCTAGAATCCTGGCATAGAATAATGAACACTCACATCATTTCCCTAATTATGTTACCAACAGCCCTGTAGCCCAATTCAACTTCCTATTCATAAATATCACTGATCCATTAAGTACTGTCAGCACCCTATAAACTTACATGAAGCTAATTTCTCTTCTTCTTTCACATGAAATCTATACAAATTTAAACTTTTCAGAATGACAGCTGGGCATAGATCTACCTTGAAAATATATGCAATTCTTGATAATTACTAGGCAAAAGAAATGAAAGACCATTTTCTTTCAATTTACAATAGTGTATGTCATTAAGTGACCTGATGACTTTCAGTAGTAAGTATAAAAGTATGAAACTTAAACACAGTGAATTAGAAAAGAGTCATAAATGACGTTTTACCCAGTGTTACAGGTGCTCTCAGTCATATTTGAAATGTCCAGAGCTTTTAGAGACATCTTCACTTGTTGCAGTCATTTAAAGATATTGAAGCAAAGATTAATCTGACATAAGGGCATCATTTTTTTAGTGTTTCATGTAGCCACAAATTCTGAACATGGGTCGGTCGGTCGGGAAAAAATAATTAAAATAAAAAAGGCAATATTATCTGAATAATGTTCTTGATTCTCATTTATTGTAATTCTTATTACAATTTCTCGCGTTCTTTGGACTTGTGGCAGCGACTGATTAAAAGAGAAACATTATATATGATGAGGCAGTACATTTAAGGTTTGAGTCGGCGGTGTTGGAATGCAAAAAAAAAATGGGGGGGGGGGCAATAAAATTAGAAGGGTCGATCAGGCGATGAGAAACACATAAAATAAAAATGCTACCCTAACGATCACATTCAGATCTATCAACTTGGCTCATACAAACCTACAACAGCAAGTCCAGGTTAAAACAGTTCTGATTGGTCAAGACACTTTAACACAGTCTAACTATATCTTCAGGATTGTCGTTTAACTTTGCAAAGACTTAATGAAAACTACACTTGGAATGACCTTTGGTCCACACATATTCGGTATAACTAGCACTTCTTGACAAAGACAACATTACAAGTCTCACATGTGTCATGAATTAAATATATGGCCACTAGACACAAACACAAACTGCTCAAGACACTGATGAGAGAGATTACTGCATGCAAGATGCCAACTGCCGCCTCCTCCTATAGCACATGTGACTGTACACAATATGGCACACAAGTAACTGGAAAGAGATTACACTTCAGACTATGAAAGAACCACGAGATAATAGTATTGCATCAGCCATGCTATAGTTGCCCTCAGCTAAATGGAGTTTGACACATGTCCACAGGAATCTCAAACTGGCATGCCATCCATCGTCAATAATTCAGGTTTCAGTCCTCCTTCTTCAAAGAATACAGCTGATATGCAGTGTAGGAAATATTTGCTTCTGACGGATCAAGCAAAGCCTTGGATCCAGCGAGTACTGAGACCAAAAAGTGATGAAATATCTTTGAACAAACTTTGTTTCATGCATGACAATGTGTGCAAGATGGGTTTAGTCCCATGGATGCATGTTCTTCATACAGCTTTAATGTCAGTGAATGGTAAGGTCCACATAAAGTTTATGCATGGAGCAAGGCTTATTCAACTTAAAGAGTTACAGCAAAGAGCATGGTAAAAATATACACACATCATTACTGCATTATATACCAGCTGCAAGCATACTCAGTGAACATTAAAATATTGACGATGCATGGCATCAACATGATCAAGCTGAATAACCTACACATAATCCTGCATCTCAAAAAATAGGTTCTCAACCGTAGGCTTTTGACACCGAAAAAGATTACAATGCATATTGTGTCATCAGTATGGTATCAATCGTACACTTGAATTATTTCCAATACTTCAGGCATACATACAGTGAGCTCAAACAAGCCAACTTGTGGCCTGTCTAACCCTGTACGCTGTCCTTCTCGTGGTCTAAACCATGTGAAATATGTATAAATGTTTCATTGGTGAACAGTAGATAAAAAACATTTCAAACTTGCAAGTCCTGATGGTCATGGAAGGCATGTTGTAAATCCAGCTTGAGACTAGTGCATAGACCAAAGTTACTTGTGAGACTAGGTATTGAATAATGCATGCCTATATGTATGTGCTTTTGCACACACCTTAACAATACAACCTGACAAGCTTTGTAAGATTAAAACATGTAGATGCTGATGATTCAATCATTCTAACATGGAACTATAAAACCGTGGTTGTTCATAAACCACACAAACTTGATAAGGACCAGGGTCAAGATTTTCGGAGCTCTTTTAGAGCTAAGATAGTGGTAAGTTAATGTTAATGTATGGCTTTTACGACCATCTTAATACTAGGAGAGCTTCAAAATCTAGGCCCAGCTCATTTTATCTACAGGGGTGGGTAAAATTACTTGACTGTCCAAACTACCATATGGAAGAACTTCATGTTATGAAAACATAAATTGAAACAAAATGCAGGTAAACCAAATATAGTTTTGACAAAAATCTCAAGCCCCCATGCAGATAAAATGGTATTGCCCTTTTCTAAGCACAGTTTTCACATTATAGTGCTCATGCCTACTTTATATGGGAACCAGTAACTGGCTGAATTTTGATGGAATGAACGGTCAAGAAGAAACAAGCTTTTACAGCAATTCAATTTCAAAAGATGTTCTCCATTGTCTCCATGTGCCATACTTTACTGCAACCTCCACAGCACCTTGAGTGAGTGTGTGTGGTCTGACACAGCTGTAGCAATATTCAAGCAGCATCACCCCAGAAGCTTCAGACTGTACCCACATGGGATTCAAACCATCAGACTGTACCCACATGGGATTCAAACCATCAGACTGTACCCACATGGGATTCAAACCATCAGACTGTACCCACATGGGATTCAAACCTATATCTTTGGCAGGTCTAATGAACACTCTAACCACTAGGCTACCCCACCACCCCAAACAGCTCCTGGGCTGTTACTGACATTCTGCAGACTACCATGCAAACCCATCATGTACTCATTGGATTGGCGGAACTCTCTCTTCCATCTGTAGAAGGTCCTCAAGGAGATGGTAGGGTAATGGCTACAGAACTCAAGAAAGTCCATGTTAGGGTTCTGCTGGAGGAATAGGTACTCCTCTCGACTCTGCTTCCTCGCCCGGGGTGAGAAGAAAGACTCCTCCTTTACCATCTGGGATGACAAAGCTCCTGAGTCGAGATAAGATGGAGGAATGCTGGTTGGCACGGAAGACATTCCCGGAAATGTTATCCCTCCTAAATTGGAGCTTGAGGGTTGAGGTACTGTTGAGGGGAAAGAGTCCAGCTTTGTGTGACTGTTGGTTTCATTGAAAGATTCCTCTTGTTTTATTGCCAGATATTGACTTGGGGCAGTGTCAGGAGCTGTTGGTGAAGCACTAGACTGGGCTGAAGACATTCCGGGGAAAGCCACTCCTCCAAGACCAGATGATCCTGCATGAGTTGTTGCTGGAGAAGAAGCACGCTGCTCACTGATCTCATCCACAGATTGATCTAATGGAGGAAGACCTGCTGATCGGCAGATGCTCTCCACAGCTGCACTAAGAGACTCTGAAGAGCTCAAGGAGCTCACAATCCCAGGCGGATCAGGACTGTCTGTTGAAAACATGGCATGGTCAGGAATGTCTAATGCTTTATTTGATGGAACACCTGGATCACTATACATCTGCAAAGACTGTCCATCACTTGCTTCATTGGCAGAGTCAGGAGAGGAAGCAGCTACCTCGATTTGATTTAAAGTATTCTCATGATCATGATATTGCAGTTGCCTTTTGAGAGATTCTGAACTCATTTCCACCTTCCTGTTTTGTTCAGCAGAGAGCTCTTTCCACCTGTTGAACACTTCCTCAGGGACTACAGTGAACACCTGGCAGAAGGCTTTGTAGCTTACATCTGGGTGCTGCTCAAGGTACTCCAGACTCTCACGAATTTCTCTTCTCCACCGATAGAAAGTCCGAAGCGAGATGAGAGGGAACGTTATTGCAAACTCGTTGTAATCCATGTAAGGATTCATCAGAAAGAAAAGATATTCAGTCTGATTGACCTTCCTTGTCTTGGTGAGAACCCAGTCTTCGGGCGAGTTCCCGTTATTGCTGTCTGCTTTACACTGTTCATCTGTTGTCTCTTCCTTCTTCTGAATAAGTGTTTTCCATTTTGTGAAGACAGTTTCAGGCACCTCTCTGCAGTAAAACGAAAATGTCTTGTAATCAATGTCCGTACTAACTTTCAGCAAACTGAACCAATCTCTGACCAGCTTCTTCCACCTGCTGAACATCCCTGCTGGAACAGCGGGAAAGAGTTTACTGAACTCCACTATACTGATCAATGGATTCTCCAGGAGATACAAGAACCCAGGTTCTCTATGATAACCCTGTTTGGTGGCATATGTCTCCCCATCATTCACCAGTGCTTGAAGACTACGAATAGGATTCTGATCCTGATTGCCAGAACCTTCTTGGGAAGTCTTTAATCTTTCCTTCCACTCATGAAACATTTCTTGGGACACTTCGGGGAGCTCTGACACAATGTCTTGATACGATGCATCAGGATGTGCAGAGATGAATTCGATGATTGACTTGATTTCTCTCCTCCAGCGATAGAATGTTCCTGTCGGTGTGTCTGGGAACAATCTCAAGAAACCTTGAAGATCAATATCCGGGTTCCTTTGAAGGAAGCAGTATTCTTGACGACTAGCTTTCATCAGTGCTTTTCCACTGACTCTGGAGTTGCTGAAGGTACTAGTAAAATTATCACAGCTAGTTGGACTATTATTGCTTTGGGTGGTACACTGTTCATCACTGGACGACAGCTTCACTTTCTTTATTTGATTAAGAGGCGTTTGAACATGATTATCATCCTTTGAAAATTTCTCAATTTGAGAACTGAGATTCACAGAGTCATCCTCACAGCCATTCATCAGTTCTTTTTCAGATAGCACAACCTCCCTCCATTTGGATACAACTTTTTCCGACACCTTTGGGTATGTTTTGTGAAAGTCCACAAAAGATATGTTGGGATCGGCACGGAGGACATTGATCTGGTCTTGTATCTCTCTCCTCCACCGATAAAATGTCCTCACGGATGTGTTGGGAAACTGATATGTAAACCCTGCAAAGTCTATGTTTGGGTGCAGCTGCAGGTATAGAAATTCATGTTCATTAATTTTTCGGGAGCTCTTCTCTTCTCTATCAATGTTCAGATTCTCGTCTCGAGGTTCATCATCGTAGTCATCTCTATCACTGTCCACAGTTAATTTTTCAGTGGTAGCATGATCTACTGAATCAGACTGCAGTGATCTTGGAGATTCTTGTCCATGGGCACTAAGAGATCCTGTTCTTTTTCTTCAACTGATGGTTCTTTGAAAGAAATCCAATATCAGTTTCATCCAAATCAGAATGACTCATTTTGTTCGGGACAGATGTTAAATTCTTTTCAGAAGAATTGTCACTTGTGCTACCATTTTTAGAGCTTTCAGAATGACGTGTATCGGACATTGGTAGCTGAGAAACCTGACTAGAATCCATACGTGCTAAGCCAGAGAGATTCAGGGCGGTTCCCCAAAAACCAGGGTAGTCTCCCAACCAGCTTCCACTCATTCCTGGCCACGTACCAGGATTGGTTGAGAACCTACTCTGCTCCTGGGCAAGTCTCTGTGACATCATTGATGTCCACAAAACCTTCTGGGCTTCCTGAATGTGCTCAGCAGTGGACACAGCCTCTCGCTGGAGGTTCAGGATTTTGTTCCTATTTTCCCTCAGCACATTCTCCCTCCAAATATTGAACACTTCTTCCGCCACTGTGGGAAAACACCTTGAAAACAGTGCATAGTCAATGGAAAAATTCTGTTCCAGGAACTTCCATGCTTGAAGGTTCTGTTGTTTCCAGATCTTAAACACATGCTTTGGGAAATTGGGAAAATGTTTGGCAACTTCTGAATATTCTGCAGTGATATTTTTCTGCATAAATTTGAGGACTTTGTGTCCATTGTTTTCATCATCCCACTGTTGTTGGTTTGGCACAGGGCTGGACTTCCTACTGTCCAGGTCAGTCTTCAGGGATATCGATGTCATGTGATTGGTAGAGCCGGTTCCAAAAAGGTAACCCTTCTGCATCAATGATTTCCAGAATATAAACACATTTTCTTTGGCATGGGGGATATACTGGATATATTCTTGATATGTCATGTCTGGATGCTGCTCTAGGAAGATGTACTCGTCCTTGATCCGTCTTTTCCATCGATAGAATGTCCGCTGTAGCACCGATGGGCAATGGCGCAAGAACTCAGCATAGTCTGTGAAGGGCGTCATCTCCAGGACCTCGTACTCCTCCTTGTGAAACACTTCCTTCTTGTGGCTGTTAAGCACTGGTTCCATGGAGGCAAACTTCCTCTTCTTGCCACTCAGGCTGTTATCAGGAGTATTTGCCGGTGACCGATTGTCCAGACGAGGATGCACATGGTCCGGAGGGTTGGGCTGAAACATAAAGTTTCAATTAATTGGGGAGTAGTGTTCATTGGTTGGTTACATCAGAGTCAGCAATATTACAGCTCTATCAGAACAGCATGAGTGGAATAAGTTTAATACATCATATAGCAGGAGGGTTGCACGAGAGGACCAAGTCTGCAATGGTTCAGGTGAGGTGAGGTGAAATTGGGTTTTACGTCATGCTTGAGAATATTTCGCTCATATGACGACGTGCATGCGTGTGTATGTGTATGTGTGGCTGCTTGTACTAGCCCAGACTGAAGCTGGTTTTATAGTGCTAGCCCACTGAGATACCATGCCGCAGTGAAGCATGAATACCCCACTCAGACACATTATACTGACTCCGAGCCGACCAGTCCTTGTTGTACCCATTAATGCCGAGTGCCAGGCAGGGACCAACAAGTACCATATATAAACGTCTTTTGGTTTGACGCGGTCGGGGATCGAACCTGCGACCTTCCGCTCTCCAGGCGGACGCTCTAACCACTACACCACGGAGGCGGTCTGCAATGGTTCAGGCATCAGATGTTTACAACTTTGGTGAAACCAACAGCTTGGGAATGGAGCTGACATCTCTAGAAACACAATTGGGGCAAAAGTAAGATTCAAACCCACAAAGGGATGCTCAACGGACACAACTCTGCACATCAAATTGATTGGCACACCAAATTGATTGGGCCACATGTCTGATGGGAAGTATGGAATTAACCCAGAATGTGCAAACTTATTATCAGTTTGTGACATAACATGTATCCACATCGTCCTACTGACCAAGGATTATCTCCCCTTATAGAGAGCAATAGAGGCCAAATCCTCCTGAACCAGTGAGTGAGTGAGTTTAGTTTTTCATCGCTTTTAGCAATATTCCAGCAATATCACGGAGGGGGACACAAGAAATGGGCTTCACAAATTGTGCCCATGTGGGGAATCGAACCCGAGTCTTCGGCGAGACAAGCGAACACCTTCACCACTAGGCTACCCCATAGCACCCCACTCCTGAACCAAAGCACACATGCATAAAGGAATGTTAGCACTACAACCATTTGAAGGTTTGTTTGCAATATGAGAGTTACGATCATTGTAGCCCTCAGAGCACTTGAGCAACAGGGCCCAGAGCCCCAGACTTGACTTTGTACTAGCCAGTCTGTCCACTTAGTACCATTGGACAAACAAAGCTACTTTCAATGAGGACAGATGTAGAGAATCACACCTGTGGATGGTCTGCCGGCTCCTGCTTGACCACAAGGTCGATGGGACTGGTCTGATGGTCTGTCTGGGAGGTGAGGGTCTTGGCCAATGCACTGGAGGAGAGAATCTGGGGGAATCTGCAACACGACATAACTGGATAACCAGAGGCCAAGCCTAACACCGTGCACAACTGGGTCTCAGTAAAATAGAGCGAGTACAGTTTTACATGGCTTTAACATAACAGGAATGTACAGGATTTCATTTTGCGGGTTTATGGACCATGGGTTGAAAGAATGAACAAAGCATGAACTGACATTCAGACAAATTGTAACCACCAAACCAACTCATTAGTCAGTTGTTACAGCATGCAAGTGGTGAGAATAGAATAGAATAGAATAGAATAGTAGAGCTGTGACGATATATCGTAGTATCAATCATGATGCTTTATCTGACGATAAATATATCGATACGTTTTTTCGTATCATGATATGTATCGTTGACCTTAAAATTGTTAATTTAATTAGATATTGACGGTGAAGTCAAAATTTCTTGCTATTAGCATATATGTTTTTTAAGAAAATAACTAAAGAAAGCATATCGTGATATGCATCGAATCGAATCGTATCGTTTCAAGATATCGCGATACGTATCGTATCGTGAAATTTCTGTATCGTCACAACTCAATAGAACAGAATAGAATAGAATAGAATAGAATAGAATAGAATAGAATAGAATAGAATAGAATAGAATAGAATAGAATAGAATAGAATAGAATAGAATAGAATAGAATAGAATACTTTAATGCCTTTTCAGGAATTTGTGTTACATCAGCAGAGCTACTGATACATTAGAGAGATACCAAACATATTTACATAAATTCTTTGATTTAGGTATCTTCACATTTGTTTAAGAGAGATATGGTACTTGGAATAAAGGATGTATGGGCTCTCTTAGTTTTCACAATTGGAACTTTGTAGCGGCGGCCTGAAGGGAGGAGGTTGTATTCCGAATTTAAGTAGTGAGTACGGTCAGATATGATTTTGACAGCTTGATTCACGATTTACCTCTCATATATTGATGATAAACATTCAAAACAAAAAAAAACTATATTTCCTGTATATTCTTGACTATACTAGATCACACCAGTATTGTTGAGATGAACTAGGCATAGTTTCACCTTCACAAAACTTGTGGTTTCTATTGCTGAATAAGAGCAACAATAAGCTTATAAGAAATAAGAGCTCTCTGTATGATTCCGATTCTATCATAAGCATGTGTTTCTGAATCTCAAAAAAATGAGAGTACCAGGTGTTAGCGGAAATGTTGAATGTATCCTGTTCCACCAGGGAACACATATATTATTGCCAAATGGACAGAAAACAGGCTATAACAAAATTTGAGGAGTGAGTGAGTGAGTATGGTTTTAGCAATATTCAAGCAATATCGGGGCAGGGTAGTAAGTGACTGAGTGAGTTTAGTTTAGTTTTAAGGCGTTTTAGCAATATTCCAGCAATATCACGGCAGGGGACACCAGAAATGGGCTTCACACATTGTACCCATGTAGAAAATTGAACCTCGGATCTTCAGCGTGACGAGCGAACGCTTTAACCACTAGGCTACCCCACTGCCTCTCGGGGCTGGGTAATTTTAGGAAATTGTAGAGTGACCTCAACATCAATCAGTACATCACATAATCATGCCACAAGTTTAATGGCTGAGATAGTCTACCTGTCCTCAGCAATCTTCCTCTTCTTGCCACTGTTATCAGGGGTGGTGGCTGGGGATCGATTGTCCAAACAAGGATGTACAAGGTTGGGAGGGTTGGGCTGAAACACAAAACACTGGTAAGTAAGTGAGTGGGTTGATGAGTGGATAAGTGGGTTGATGAGCGGATAAGTGGAGTTGATGAGTGGATAAGTGGGTTGATGAGCGGATAAGTGGGTTGATGAGTGGATAAGTGGGTTGATGAGTGGATGATTGGGTGTACGAGTAATGTGTACAGGAGTGGGTAGGATTTTTTCATTATAACACAGCATGTCGATGAGTGGATAAGTGGGTTGATGAGTGGATAAGTTTCATTATATCACAGCATGTCAGTCAGAAAGAGGGAAAGCCAAAAGTGATACATGTCACACCACCAACACAGGTATGGCGACAGACAGATCACAGTCATGCAGGGGTGGCTAGGGTGCAAACCGACAGGAAGCAGAACCTAGCCTGGACAAGGAATACTCTACATGCATCACGATGCCCTTACCAACCTGTTGGCTGCTTTGTAAACATTTTACTACAGTGCCCTTTTCCTCAGTTAAAAATGCAGAGCCAAACACAGGACATAAATACAGTATGGCCAACCGACTTGTAAGGTCTTTTCAGGATGAATGCTATTAGATTCTATAGAAGTAGTGATGAAGTAAGTGTCTTACCTGTGGATGGTCTGCCGGCTCCTGCTTCACCACAAGGTCGATGGGACTGGTCTGATGGTCTGCCTCGGAAGGAAGGGTCTCAGCCACAGCAATGGAGAACACAGTTGGTGTGACCCTGGAAATTTGACATCAAAACATGACTCCATAACAAGGTCCGGGTTTGATAATGGTGATTTTATCTGTTTTTAAACAAATTGAAACTGTGCTGTCAAGAATGTTTCATGATCTGAGCTAAAAAAGGCTGCCTTTTCTTCTTCCATCCATCTTTATTTTGGGGAAGAGATTGTAGGGTGCTTCCCCTAAAAGTTAATGAGGCAGTGAGTAATTGACGTAATTCTATTTGTAGTGATTGTCCGTGAGATTGAAGAGGTAGTCAAATGTCAATTGTTTTCAGCTTCAGCAAGTCTAATTTAGAGTTATCACCCTTGTACAAAATTTCTGGCTTGATAATTTATAAATGTTTGGGGACTGGACAGTTTCTATAAGGCTGGTGACATAAAAGTACCAGACAGTGATCTGAAGCCTTGTTCTGACAGTGAATATTCATAGGTGCAATTTCATTATTCAAGTTGACTCACATTTTGTCCCATACATAACTTATCTTATTGAAAAGTGTATATCTAATAAAACTTCAAATGGAGCATATTCACGCACTCACTCACTCATTCATTCATTGTTTGGGAGAGTGCTACTTATTGCCGCTGACACTAAATATTAGGGGTGACTATTGAGGTCCAAGGAACTATTGCGATATCGATAGCCTATCACAAGCTACTATTGCGATGTCGACAGTCTATTGCAAGCTACTATATGCGATATCTATTGCGATAGTTCAGACAAAATTCAAATTTCTGATAAATTGCCATGTTCTACCAACTTTGTTTACATTAAACTACTTAAACCATAAAAAATGTGTTCAGTTGTTTATTCCTTATAACTTTCAGGTCAGTATTGGTCAAGTTGTCATGATGACTTCTTCATGAAAATGACTTAGTATTAAAACATTCCACAAGAAGCCAACACATTCGCACAGGATTTAATACTATTTATTACAAAACTGTGGTTTGCAGCCTCTTTGATCCCCACAACTTTGTATGTAAAATAACATACAAAATAAAGAATAAATACTGGCTCTGTGGCTCTGTCACATTTCTGACAAATGGTCACGTTTAGTTTCAATAGAAAACACTGTGTGTAAAGGTTGAAAATTAAACAGTTCACAGGTACGTTTTAGTTTTAACAACATGAAGATGAAAAAATATATCCAATGCACTTATCAGTCAACAGACTCAACAGATTTAAAGAAGACAATAATCTTTTGTCACTATGAAAGTATCAAGAAATCTCACAAATAAACCTGTCAGCAGATAACTTGGTGACTCAAGTTGAAAGATAGGTTAAAGGTCACATGCAACCAAAAATCAAACATAATTAAAACACAATTATCACTTATTCATGACATATAATATACATTGCTGGTTATGAAAAAACATATAAACAAAATTATAAGCGTACAATCGCAAATCAAATGTGCAATATTGTGTACTTCGGTTTACTTCCCAAGAAACGAAGCAGCCGGGATACCGAACCCAGTCAGAGCGGGTGGGTGTGCACTCAAGTGTAACGGCTGGTTCATTTGCAGATGCCGCCTTCACGGCTCATTGTGTGTGTATATATATAGATGTTGGGTTTTGTAAATACATGCTCATTTTTGTGTATAACATTTTGCAATCAACAGACATCATAACATGTCATGTGTTCAAGTATCACACCTGCCTGTCTGTGTAATTACATAATGTGACAGAGACCTAACTCGGGCCATAAATCAATGCATTTTGTTTATGGTGTATAGCCTGATTGGTGTTAAGTTCAAATTGCATGTGGTCAGTGATAGCAGCTGTGTATTGAATATTGTCATTAGCAGACAGGCAGGCAGACACACAGGTGTCAATAAAACAAGACATTGAGTTTAGTCTGTGACAACGACATATCTATATCACAGTTGGAAATTCTGTCAACGCTAAATAATGGCATTGCTTTTGGCATCGAACTGAGAAAGTGACTCGTAAGAAGAACGGTGGTGAAATAGACAAATGAAATTATATAAACAGTTTATTTACTGTCATAACATATAAAAGCTCACTTCGTGAGATATCAACAAAACATTAGAAAAATAGCTCACACCAAAGCCTTCACCGAGCATTCACCGGACAACCGCTTCCAAGCTGCGCGAACCTATTTCACTGCGCACATGCTATAAGCGCAGCCCAGCTGTTGAAACCAGTTTTCCCCAGAAAAGTCTGGGGAAAATTAGTCAAACGTTTGAACTCCGATTTCGCGCGGTTTTTTTCATCGCGTTATTTTTCAACTTTATAAGTTGAATTTGCATTTTTGACGATTTGTTTCGGTAAGTCCATACCGAAAGGTATCAGAATCTGCAAAGTTGTGTTTTACGTTGCATGTGACCTTTAACATAATTGGCAAATGGCAATATTTCACATTAACTTTGATTTTACTCAAATAGTGTGATAAAGGCAGCTAGTAGTTCATTCTTTATCTTGGTTTTCAACTTTCCAATTCTTCTTTAGAAACAAGAGTCTGTCCATGTGTGCAGATTTAACAGTCTGCTAGTCCATCCATCAGTTGTGAGTGAAACACTCAGAACAGGCAAGGTCGTTCCTGACCTCAGTTTTAACAGTCTCATACAACATGGGCAAGGCAGAATCTGAGAAATACTGTCGCGAGGGGATTGTGCAATGTGGTTCCAAAACTCTCAACATGTTCCTAAATCCATCATTTTGGACAACACTGAATGGCTGCAAATCTGTCACAATAAATTCAAGAATGGCTGCCGAAATGTCTCTTGCTCATTTTGACGACGATAGTAGAGTAGTGTTGTCATTTAGCACTATCAGGGTTGTTTGTCTCATAGGCCTACCCTTGGTTGGGGCAAGCGCATCAAGAGACAAGACCTGCCTCCGCTGCACATCATCAGTCAAATTGGTTGTATTTCCACAATGTAACTTCAATATCAGCTTACACTTCCGACATGCAACTCACTTCTTGTCCACTTTATCTGTTTTTACAAACCCAAAGTGTTCCCATACAGCTGACTTAGCTGACGTATTGTTTACGATTTCAAATTTCGCAAAATCCCCGCTGTCAGCTTGAGCTGTCATTTTGGTAAGGGGGATAACTCTACATCCCCTTATATCACAGCAAAACGCTGGCGCTTACAGCAAATAGAGATTAATCCCAATCGGGGTAGGACTGTAGGACAGAACATGTTTTCAAGTTACCGTTCTTTATAAAACAAATTAAAGCGATAGTATCAATAGTTGATGCAACTATCGATGCATTGCATCGTCATTTCATACACCTATCGATAAAGTACTATCGGGGGTGCTCACAATTGCGATCAATCGATAGTTCGATGCATCGTTACACCCTTACTAAATAAAAGTTATCTTATTAAAAAATAGGGAGTGAGTATGGTTTTACACCGCTTTTACCAATATTCCAGCAATATCACAGCGAGGGAGACCAAAATGGGCTTCACACATTGTACCCATGTGGGGAATCAAACCCATGTCTACAGAGTGCTGGGCAGATGTTTTAACCATTAGGCTGCCCAACCACCCTTATCAAAAAATAAGTATCTAAAAAAAAAACTCATTCCAGACTTGAGATTGATTTCATTCATTCATTCATTCCGCCGACATATAGCTGGAATATTGCTGAGTGCAGCGTAAAACTAAACTCAATCACTCATTTATTCATATTTATTCTATTAATTATTTATCTATAAATCAATTATTCTCTGGGGTTTGGGAGACTGCTATGTATTGCTGCTGTCACTAATTGTCTTCAACTGTTTTTAAATTATGGAAAGAAATAGAATCATGGTTGAACTGAGTACAGTTACAACTGGAATTTACAAATAAAATCGTTATATTGGGAATGAAAGGAAAGAACAATAATCTTCTTAATGAAATCATTTCAGTAGTCAAACACTATATCTACAGATGCAGCATAAATGGTTTCAGACCAAAATTAGAATATTTAACAAATGAAATTGTCCGTCACTTTGATATGTCAAATTGTGTTTACCTATCAACGGGAACTGAACAATTGTTTTTTCAATATTGGTCAACTTTACATTTATTACTTGGAAATAATCCTGCCAACTGTACAGTCAGTCAGTTGTACATTTCTATAAACGTATACATATACCATTGTATTATCATGATTATTATGAAACTTATCTATACATGTCCGCCTGTACCATGAAATATGGAAAATAAAAATTTTTTAAAAATATATTAAAAAAATGTTTGTTTGCATATCTAAGTCATGTTTCCATGGAAACAGCAAAAATTCTGTGTCTAATCCCCAAAAGGCACATCTAGGGATCATGGTTGACATGTGTACCAAGTTTGGTTAAACTATCACGAATAGTTTAGGAGATATGCTTCGGACAAAGTGTGACGGACGGACAGAACTCGTTTCTATATTTGACAGACCCGAACGTTGCCAACAGCCCATGACATGAGCTCACTGCACTTTCAGCCAGACGAGCTAATAAATGGAATCAGTATATTTGTCAACACATAATTAATGAGAACCAAACATCCAGTTTGGTGGTATCACGTTGAAATGTTCATGACAAGTCAATGGCTTGACCAGTCCACTCACTCACCTCTCTGCCTTGTCATCTGTGTCGTGAATAGTTTCCGCTGCAGACTCTTCTTCCTCTAGTCTGTCCTCTTCCTCTGCCTTGACTTCCGCCACGGTGAAAGGACTGACACTCACACTGTTGCTGCTCCTTTCACTGTCATTGTCATTCACAAATCTTGATATGTCCATTTTAGCACTTGCAGACAGCATGCTAGGACTTAGCGTCCAAGCTCGTTCTTGCATAGAAGTCAGTGACAGGAAGTTGAGACTAGAGTTACCTCCCCTTGATTCGGGGATCCCATCCTTTGATGGCACATCACGACTAGAGCTTTTATCACAGATAGAATCGGAGTCATTTGTCACATCATTTTCGCTCGGTCTTGAAAAAGCAGCATCGTCTCCTTTTGAATAATCACCCACACCTGACCGGTAATGATCCAACGGTTTGTGTTCGCTTCCGTCATCACTTCCCATATTGGATGCATCTGACATCTCATCATCATCATCTTCATCACAAATTTCATCATCATCATCATCGTCTTCATCTTCATCATTGGCAAGTTCAATGCTATAGTCATTTTCTGATGATTTTTGTTGAGAAGCCAATGCTTCTACTCGGAGACCTATCGGGCGATTGACAACCTCTTTGATGCTGAAGTTCTCTTTCGTGCCCTTGTCTATCTCCAAACAAACAAGTCCAACGACTTCTACAGTGTGTTGAAAGCTGAGGTACTGCATACAAATTCGTCGAATAGACTTGATAATTTGAGGAAAGAAATTGTGAGGAGTGCCATCATCATCATCGCCAAGACTGGTGCCTCTTCTGAAAAATCATCATGAAAAAGGTTCAATATAAAGGCCACCACATTCAACAAAATCAGATTTAGTAGGACCTCACTGAGTCAAACCTGTGGGGAACTGGGTGTCAGTGTGCAAAGCAATCTTAGCTCTAAGGTGAACGTAACTCCCATACCTTAACACAGACTTACGACTGGCGTAGAGCTAAGGTTGTTTTGGACAACAGCACCCTTGACTGCTATCCAGGGTTAAAAAAAGCCAACAGTCACTTCCCAAAAATGTTATAAGAGATATCACATAATCTTTCAAGCAACTCTAATAGATAATGACAAGACTCCAATAGTGAGTGAGTGAGTTTAGTTTTACGCCGCACTCAGCAATATTCCAGATATATGGCGGTGGTCTGTAAATATTCGAGTCTGGACCAGACAATCCAGTGATCAACAGCATGCAGGGATTGGGATAGAGAACTTTGACAATGGGTCATTTTCAGGATTACTAGCCATTTTCTGATTTTAGAATGGGCCACTGCCCTTGTATCAATAGTAAACTTCAAAATTTTAATGGGCCATTTTTTATTCTAATCTGCAAAATGGACCAGACAATCCAGTGATCAACAGCATGAGCATCGATCTGCACAATTGGGAACAGGTGACATGTGTCAACCAAGTCAGCGAGCCTGACCACCCGATCCTGTTAGTCGCCTCCTACGACAAGCATGGGTTACTGAAGACACAACCCATGACATTGATGTACATTGAGGTGAGGTGAAATTGGGTTTAACATCGTGCTTGAGAATATTTCGCTCATATGACGACGAGCATGCGTGTGTATGGGCGGCTGCTTGTACTAGCCCAGACTTAAGCTGGTTTTATAGTGCTAGCCCACTGAGATACCATGCCGCAGTGAAGCATGAATACCCCACTCAGACACATTATACTGACTCCGAGCCGACCAGTCCTTGTTGTACCCATTAATGCCAAGCACCAGGCAGGGACCAACAAGTACCATATTTTAACGTCTTTTGGTATGAGGCTGTCGGGGATCGAACCCGTGACCTTCCGCTCTCCGGGCGGACGCTCTAACCACTAAACCACGCAGGCGTGTCTCGATGTACATTGACACATAAACAGACATGATATAGTTAAAAACACAGACCCCTAATGGAAGCCATTGCTGGGATTCAGACCCACACCGGTAGTGAATGACAGTAAAAATTCTCAAATAAATAAATAAATAAATTCCCAGTGCCTCTGAATTGAAGACAAAAGAATATTAACAAAATCAAATTCCCTGCTTGTAACATATTCCAGCACTGTCACAGCAGTGAACATGAGATATTGACATGACACTTAAAAACCTTGAGAAATCCCTACATCAAGCTATACTAGAAAGCAGGAAGACTTCCTTTACATGTGACATAATAATCTGTTCATGCTTGAAATCATTTCATCTGGATGGCTCTCATTATCCTGTCTGAATTCATCTCAGACAACCACTGGCCTGACCAGTAAGAGACTCTGGAAATGTCAATAACTCATTAAAGCTGACATGGCAAGAAAACCAAGTCTTGTTGACAATATTTCTAAAAAGACAAAAATGACTCCATTCTGATTTAACAAAACCATTATTAGTATTTAATTCTTATGCATGTGAACCTCTCTTTTAAAAAAACTGTAGTATGCTTAAATTTCATTTTATTGTAATAATATGCAGATTTATTTCAGAATCTTGTCAACTTGTTTTAAATTTTATATTGTGTTAAAAGACCCCGAAAATACATTGTGCTCATCATGATTATTGTGTTGACATTGTGTTGCTACTTACGACTGCATAGTTACAGTGTGACTATCAGTAGACCATCCTTTCCTCGTGTGCCCATATTTAGCCTACTGGTCTAGACATAATTAGAATTGTGTGTGATACTGGGACATGTTCCTGAATAAATCAGGCTAATAATTAACTGTCAGATTTAACTACATTGTAACATGTAACAGAGAAATGAGAGTCTGAATGTCATTAACTTGCTTGCGTCAATTGCTAATTAACCCTGCCAAGTAACTTTTGAAGTAGGGTTGAGCAGGGGGTTTCTCTGAGACATTTTCAAAAAATATATTGACAGTTACTTGAAAATATAGCCTGAATATTCATTCTGAAACATGTTGCCACTAAACAGTGTTGAATGACAGGTTACCTTCTCAGGATATCGATGCCTTTCCCTTTCATCGTGGGGGTTCATGCTTGATAATTGTGATGTAAAATTGATTCTCATGACTTCACATCTTGGTATTGTGAATATTGAGATTGTTGTGTTTCATTCTTGACACTAATGGACATTTCAAAAGTCACAGTAACAATAAAATCAACTCGTCAGTTTATCAACACTGTCTCCTTTTATGGAATTTTTAAAGCCTTAATATTTTCAAATCACAACCTAAATAAACCCACTCTGTGCAAAACAAAAGACAATACAGCCTCACTATTAAACATTGATTAAAATTTAAATGAACAAAAACATGCATATTAAATTTTTTTTAAATTCAAATTAAATATTCACTTAATTACTGAAGGTAAATACTGTCATTCCATGTCAGTTCTCATCACAATGTTATCGACAAAGAAGTATGTATAAGATTGTTTTCTCCAACGCCACATGAGTGAGACAGTGCGATAACGTTATGACATTTATAACCCAAATAGACTCCAGACATCTCATAATCCCCGACACCCCACGTGACTAAGTCTTATCGTACAATGCAGTGTGGCAGGTGGCATGCTTTTGTTCAACCCGGCCACTTCAAACTCGCTATCAACAAACGCTGAGTGTGAAAATAAGCGGTGAACTAATATCGAAATATAACTTAGATCCTGGGATGGTATATCATACACAATGAACACATATGTCGCTCGCAAAACTACATTTTCAAAACCGTTCAGGCTCCGTGACCCGAGCTGCCATCTTGACCCTAGAGATTGCGTGCCAAACGTGACTGTATAATGTGCTATTTTCAAAACAAATCCACGACAAGTAAATTTACTAGTGATGCACGACGGAATTCGTCTACATTTACGTGGGCAAAATATCTACTGTTTATAGGCTCGTGTCGGAGTCATTTCATCACTTACCCACATTCGACACAATGCGAATCGTGAGCCTCCATTAAATGCCACGCGAGGCTGCAATCTTTCAATCCGATTCGGCTCTTCAATTTCTTCCAACGGTCGTAAGAATTGCCGAGGTAAACCCTCCGAGCATCCCGCCATTTTGTTGCTTCTTGTTGTTTTCTTCTTTTTTCGTGGAGAGGTTTTCTTGGCCTGCCAACTCGCGGAAACTGGGTTTGTTCAGACGGTTTGCCATCCTCCATGGCAGCCATTTTTGTTGGCAATGTTTGGGCTGACTGACCCAGTTCGGGATAACGGGCGCTGTGGGCATGCGCCTGTACCCCTCTTGTGTCGGGAGCGTCACGAATGAGTAACTTCACTAATCCTTGTCATTTTGACTGACATGTGTCAATTAGATGACACTCGCGCACTCGGCGGTGTGTGTAAGGAAGTGACACTTGCATCCCTTCGTGACATCAAAACTTGTGACTGTCATCGAATACCTGTGCTGTGATTTTGACGAAATTGGCCCGTTGACATAAGTGGTGTCTTGTTGACATTGCGCTGTGGTGTCATGTGATGTGAATGTAAAAGGCAACAAATAAATAATAAACATTTTTTACGATTAACATGGGTGGTTGTCACTTCCGATATTGAGCTATTTAAAGTTATTGACTGTCACCAAATCGTCATAATTATTGTGATACGTTGTCTGATAACTTTGCTGATACGAGATGTCACTACTTGAACCATCCTTGTACATGTTGTGTAACCTATTGGCAAAGGGGTTTAAATATGTGTGATAAGGTCTTTATCAGCCCTACTGGTATCACAGTATACATGTCTATATCAAGTGCTGTCAATCAACCACGTGCACCTGAGATGACTCTGTTGACATTCGTGGAGTGTTGTGGTGAGACGGGTCGGATTTAACCAATCCAAAGCAAGCTCACTGGCTGACGACACAGAAAGTGGCCACTTGTTTTAAATGGCACATACATTCAAAATAATAATGAATTACATGGGAATTTTTAAATGCCATTAGAAGCAGAAATGTTCATTGTCATCAGTACAAAGAATCTCTGTTATAAGTAATATCGAAGAGTCAGATGGGGTAGCCTTGTGGTTAAAACCAGACCATATACCAAAAAACTCACTCAGACCCCCTCCCAACAAACGCACTGCAAACCACTCCTCTCCCTTCGTATGAAAAAAGGGGCGATGGGGTAGCCCAGTGGTTAAAGCGTTCGCTCGTCACGCTGAAGGCCCGGATTCGATTCCCCACATGGATACAAAGTGTGAAGCCTATTTCTTGTGTACCCCGCCGTGATATTGCTGGAACATTGCTAAAGGCGGTGTGAAACCCAACTCGCTCACTCGTATGAAAAGAGGATGTCAAAATTCCTACTCATATAATTCAACAAACCCTAAATTGCGTGGATCGATGCTTATGATATTGATCACTGGATTGTCTGGTCCGGATCCGGAACCACGGGCGTTAAAGCAATGTGATGGAGAAAGTGTACTCACTTCATGCACATTATTGGGTTTAACCGCTGTGCACCTATACGACACTAATGTATTAGATTACACAAAGAATAGATTCATTAATTTCAAAAACAACAATTTACGTAGGTTTGCACTGGCGGACAAAAAGCAGCCCCAATCAGCATGTTGCCGTAATTGCCGACGTCGGAATTGTAATCTTCGGAAAAAGTACAGAGCGGAAAGAATTAAAATTGTATTACCTAAAACTTCCTCGATTAATTTTTTCTTTGACAACCGCAATTTCCGCTGCTCGGTATTTTTGTGTCTTGTCATTATATTCAATAAAAAGTTGATTTCAAATGTCGAACCCTTTAAAGGAGAATACGAGTGAATTGCAATAATTTGATGGGTGAAAGATAAAGTCATCAGAAACATATTCCCAAATTTTCAATTAAAAATTATGTATAATTATGTTTTAATCGCGAAAACAGTTTCTGTAAATCTCAGCTTCGGCCATTATGCATATTTCGCTGGAACCCACGTGACCTTTCCGCTCGTGACGTCAAATGTGCCAGGAGTCCGCCATATTGCCAAAGACCAAGCGCTACAGTAGTACAAATCGTGTTGTTTCTGTCGTTTTTGTAAATGGTACTGTCGGTAAGCTTTGTATAGGGGAGCAAGAGTTGAGACGATGATTGACAGCTCAGTTGTGTTGAAACCGATACCTTTGTCTACGTCAGAAGCTACAGGGGAAACAGGTTCGGATCGGCGAAGTGAGATAAAAATTTACATCCACGTGGATTGCTGACTTATAAAGATTATGTGCATCGTGGTATATTGAAACAGAAACGGAACCCCTGTTTCCGTTTTGTAAATATGAAACAGGAGATTAGGTGGTCAAAATAGACTTTTATTTATGGATACTGCTGTGACGATGGTCACACTAACTGTCACTGTGTCATGATAGATGCACGGGCGGATACAGCTTTCTGAGAAAGCGGGTGTGCAGTCTTGAGAAAGTTGGAGTGCACGCTTCACTTTTACGAGAGTTTCAATGGTCATGAAATAAACTTTCAGGACAAAAGGGGGTATGCACACCCCTGCACACACACACATGTGCACACATCTTCCCCAGCTTGATCCCACTATATGAGATGCACCATACGATATATTTTGATGTTTGCGTTTTGTTTAAGCCACACTTAGCATTATTCCAGTTACACGAAGGCGGTCTATAGAAAATCGAGTCCGGACAAAACAATCCAGTGATCAGCAGCATGAGCATCGATCTACGCAATTGGGATACGATGGCATGCGCAAACTAAATTAGCGGGTTACGCTAACGATCCCGTTACGAAAAGCATGGGTTGCTGAAGAGCAGTTCTTGCCCAGATCTTCAAGGTGAGGTGAGGTGAAGTGAAATTGGGTTTAACGTCGTGCTTGAGAATATTTCGCTCATATGACGACGTGCATGCATGTGTATGTGTATGTGCGGCTGCTTGTACTAGCCCAGACTGAAGCTGGTTTTATAGTGCTAGCCCACTGAGATACCATGCCGCAGTGAAGCATGAATACCCCACTCAGACACATTATACTGACTCCGAGCCGACCAGTCCTTGCTGTACCCATTCATGCCGAGCGCCAGCCAGGGACCAACAAGTACCATATTTTAACGTCTTTTTTGGTATGACGCGGTCGGGGGATCGAACCCGCGACCTTCCGCTCTCCGGGTGGACGCTGTAACCACTACACCACTACACCACGGAGGCGGTCCGGATCTTCAAGGGTCCAATATGATATGTATGAATGGATGGGTGTTTTGGTGTTTGTTTGTTTTCTAAATACGGTTTTTTAGGATAGTTTCACCACATCGCTATGGTTTACTTCCATTCCGGTTTCCAACACACAATTTAACAATAGGGGGTTAACAATTAACAAATGCGGAAACTTCTCTTTGTTCCTTTAAAGCAAAGTGTTCAAAGCCTCGATGTCCGTGAACTTTTAACCAATGGATGTGCTATACATGTCGTAAGAGTCTTTACAAGGGCTGCGCCTATATGGTGCACTTAGTCAGGTGTGAAAGTACAGTTAGCCCTTTAATTAGGACTAATTAATCTCTTATTCCGCTGTCAACTGACAGCCGACAAATGGGAAAGAAATTTTCAGCTCATTAGCCGGGAAAATCTGTGATTCTAACCATTCGTCCAGTTTTACCAGACGAAATGGCGGCGGAGAAAAGAGAGTGAGTGAGTGAGTTTAGTTTTACGCCGCACTCAGCAATATTCCAGCTATATGGCGGTGGTCTGGAAATAATTGAGTCTGGCCAGACAATCCAGTGATCAACAGCATGAGCATCGATCTGCGCAACTGGGAACCGATAACATGTGTCAACCAAGCCAGCGAGCCTGACCACCCGATCCCGTTAGTCGCCTCTTACGACAAGCATGGGTTACTGAAGGCTCATTCTAACCCGGACCTTCACGGGTACGGAGAAAAGAGAAGTACTGGAACTGCCTAGTTGCTGGTTGCAATGCATATGTGGTAACACAGAACCAGGTGTAGCATGCTGTTCTGCAGGTGAACCCCACCCACCCTCCTGCATGTACCCTTTGAGATGGAGGTTGAAGTGTGGTGGGATATTCCGTGCTGCAGTTTAACATGGATGCCCCGCTCAGATGCAGCATACCGCCTCTTGACTTTAGTCGACCATCCCCTTAATGCTGGGCACCAGGCAAGGTAACAATAAGTATCATCTATTTAACGTCTTTGAGTATGACGGTACCGAGGATCAACCACCGACCTGCCGCACTCCGACAAAACGCTCTATCCACTGGATCACGGGTTAGTCAGACAGTATACAGCCACCACAATATCTAGCCAAAATTAACATTAAACCGGAGAGTTTGCCCACTTTCTTTCTTCTGTACGGCAGTTTAGTGTCTCCGAGTAAAGACTACAATATGTGATACTAGTACCAGAGCACGCACCAGTATATAATGTCTTACCGTACCTGTCCTTCCTATAGGTAACACTGTAAGAAGCTCGGCGACATTGCCAGTCGCGTAATCTGAAAAGTATGCATTTTACTTACAGTCGAACTTGTAGGCGGGCCAGAGTTTAAGAAGTAAACCTAAACACAAATAAAGGGCCTATGCTTTTTGTTCCTATCTGCATGCATGCCGATGTGCCTAAAATGAAAACTGGAAATGTTTTGGATCAGTACGCCTTCAACGCACGGGTACGTAAATTGTTAAAGGACGGCATATATCTGTATTTATTACCTACGAGGGCGAAAATATCGGGGTTCATATTTTTCATACGATGCCCTAGGGCAAAATATCACTTTGTCATGTGACGTGACGTCATGAACATTGCTATGACATCACGTTTCTTCTATGACGTTGCGTTCTACATAGGCGACGGCAGGTAGCTAGCCTATGTTTGAAAGTAGATTTGGTTTATTTTTCTCAATTTGACGACTTCGGTAATAAACAGAATATTATATGAGTGCCCATATCATACTATGTTTACGACACTCATGCCTATATATCGGTATATCCCTCGCTCTCGCCCGGGAAATACCAACATTTAGACACTTGTGTCGTAAACATAGTATGACATGGGCACTCATATAACATCCTCTATTTATACATGTGCACATATTACTTTTGCTTAGCAACCATTGTTTCTGTGTTTCGTCGTCTGTGATTCATTAAACAATTGAACGTGACGTCAATGAACAGGACAGTCACACTTGCTTAGCGTGTTTTACTGCACAAATGCACATGAAGGATAATAAAGAAATTATTAGACTCGCAAGTGTGCCACACGACTTATACGAAACTCGTGCAAAATTGTGCTCGTTTCGTATAATTTGTATGACACACTTGCTCGTATAATAATCTCTACTTCTCTACCACCATGGTGATTCCGGATTAACCATTTGATATTAGATGTGGTGGGTGGGAGGGGTCGGGCCAGGATTGTTTCGAAAAAACCGAGTTATCTCAGAAAATACTTGAAATAAAATACTGAAGACTGTCTTGTGCACGCAATGTATTTTTTTCACAAATGAAACGTTGCAACATTATAGACACAGAGAGGCATTAATGCTTCATTCATACTTCACATATATTTAATAAGCAATTCAAACTAAACTGCCAGAAATACACATTTATATAATGGTCAGCTGCAACATGTGTTATATTTGGGATCACACTTTCTCAGTAAAGTACAGATTCTAGTTGCCTCGTTGGGTTGAGTCTCAACCGGATTCGAAATCATACTCAGGCACCTAATCACCAGCTTGTCAGATGGGTACACAAAGTCCCCATCTTGACTGTCAGTTGCCCGACTTCCATTTTTGTGGAAGAAGCGTGGCTGAACGGTTGGATGGCTAACTTTGTGCGTGCTGTGTGCTGTATGTGTGTGCATGTGTGTAATGTTGTATAACCTCTACAGTGTTATATCGCTTTCTCTGCTATTTCAGTGCAGCGAACAATGTGCGTATATTTCCCATCGATATGTTGTAAGGAAAAGGTTACACTTACTCGAGTCACTTACATTGCACTGGCTGGAACTCTTCCTACTTAATTATATGAGCCCGCCTCCGTGGTCTAGTGGACAGAGCGGCATGCAGGAGGTGGGGCGATCCCCGGCGGTTGTGCCAAACCACAATGTGTAAAACGAAGGTACAATGTAATTGTTGTTATCTTGCCGGGCGCTCAGCTTTAAGAGTGAGTGAGTTACATTTTACGCCGCTTTTAGCAATATTCTAGCAATATCACGGCGGAGGACACCAGAAATAGGCTAAACACATTGTGCCCATGTGGGGATTCGAACCGGTTCTTCGGCGTGACGAGCGAACGATTTAACCACTAGGCTACCCCACCGCCCCCTCTGCTTTAAGAGGATATAACGGGGGTTGACGGCTCGGATTCTGTAGGCGTTCGAGTGGAGTATATTGTTCAAGCGGCATAGTATTTCAATGTGTCCTGACTCAGTCCGTTTGAGTCAGAAACGGACCGATGAATTTCAAATTTTATCATTGTACAAAATTGCCACATAAATATAAATAGTACACATGTTTATCATTTACTAATACCTAACAGTTAGGTAACAGTTAGGTATTAGTAAATGATAAACATGTGTACTATTTATATTTATGTGGCAATTTTGTACAATGATAAAATTTGCAATTCATCGGTCCGTTTCTGACTCAAACGGACTGTAGTACCACACACACAAGCCTGTGAATGAGTGGAATAGTCTGCAACACCAACATAAACATAAACCTACATACAAGATACCACCCGTGAAGAACTGGGTTAGAATTGATCTTCAGTAACCCGTTCTTGTGGTAAGAGGCGACTAACAGGATCGGGTGGTCAGGCTCGCTGACTTGGTTGACACGTCATCGTAGCTCATGCTGTTGATCACTGGATTGTCTGGTCCAGACTCGATTATTTACAGACCGCCGCTATATAGCTGGAACATTGCTGAGTGCGGCGTAAAACTAAACTCACTCACACTCAAGATACGTGCACAATACTGCGTGAAAACTGATTTGAATTAATACCCAAAAGATGTGGCCTTATAAGGTTGAAATGTGAGCCAGTTTGGTTTTACGCCGCTTTCAGCAATATTCCAGCAATATCACGGCGGGGACACCAGAAGGGCATCACGCATTGTACCCACGTGGGGAATCAAAACCGGGATTGAAAAGTGAAACTGCAAAAGTTTGGCACATGTGTGTTGCATAATACATGGTAGTCTCTTTGTCAAGTGGAGAGATGGCGCAAGATAACACCTTGTAATGCACTGTCTTGATAACAGCTTACAATATTCTCTTGTCATGAACCCGTGAAGGTCCGGGATAGAATGAGCTTTCAGTAACCAATGCTTCTCGTAAGAGGCGACTAACGGGAACGGGTGGTCAGGCTCGCTGACTTGGTTGACACGTGTCATCGGTTCCCAATTGCGCAGATCGATGCTCATGATGTTGATCACTGGATTGTCTGGTCCAGACTCGATTATTTACAGACCGCCGCCATATAGCTGGAATATTGCTGAGTGCGGCGTAAAACTAAACTCACTCACTCTGTTGTCAATGAAGCGCACAATGCATGGCAATCATGTCATGTGCTTTCCTACGCTGTTCTGACCAGAGCGCGTCATCAACCTAGCCGACACGTAGTGAAGCGCTCGTAAAATATATATTTCGACATGTTGCCGGGAAACAATTATATCCAGAAAGCCCACGCAAATCTGGAATATGTGGTAAGTCTAGATTCGGAAATGAAGAAAGTATTTCGGCTCCTTTTCAGGAACCGTTTCTTTCTGTAAAACATGTTCATTTCAGAGTTATGTTAAGATGTTAGTCTACCGAGAATGCAGTCGACAGAATAAGTGTTGGCATTGCAACTAAATATATTTGTCTCAGAAGAACACGTGATACATACACTGAACTACAAATGTGGTGTAAATAAATTCATTGGCAATAGTAAATATTAAAAGGAACAGGTTGTAGAAAGTTCACAGAGAGCTACGAGATCAACTGAATGTTGTTCAGTCCTTGCAATATCACAAATCAAATTTGAAATAGTTGAATTATGAGTCTATAAAAGAGAATTTTTTCAAAATTTCTTGACTTGTACTCCTACCAGGTAAAGTTTTGACTGGAATGTGTTGTGTTGTGTTGTCTGCAATATTCCAGCCATATGACCAACACCTGTAAATATTATAATCTGAATAAAAAAATCCACTGCTTGATATCATGACCAGCAATCCAGGCCATGTGGTAAGTTGACAACCCATGAACCGAGTCATCTTATCACACTACCTGTCAACCCTTCTACCTGTGTGACCGCCTCCGTGGTGTAGTGGTTAGAGCGTCCGCCCGGAGAGCGGAAGGTTGCTGGTTCGATCCCCGACCGCATCATACCAAAAGACATTAAAATATGGTACTTGTTGGTCTCCGCCTGGCGCTCGGCATTAATGGGTACAACAAGGACTGGTCGGCTCGGAGTCAGTATAATGTGTCTGAGTGGGGTATTCATGCTTCACTGCAGCATGGTATCTCAGTGGGCTAGCACTATAAAACCAGCTTAAGTCTGGGCTAGTACAAGCAGCCGCACTTACACATACACACGCATGCACGTCGTCATATGAGCGAAATATTCTCAAGCACGACGTAAAACCCAATTTCACCTCACCTCACCTCTAACCAGCTGTCCCCTCATGCCCCTGATTGGGACAAACATTGAGTGAATGAGTTGGGTTTTATGCCGCCTTTAAGCATATTCCAGCAATATCACAGCATGGGGCATCAGTAATGACCTTCACACATTGTTCCCATGTACCGACTCTATCCCAGTGTTCAGCCTGACAAGCAAACACTTTGACACTAGGCTACCCAACTGCCCCATAACAGTGGCATTGTAAACAGACTTCAGAAATAAACTGTCATGCCATCAGCCATTGGTTTATCTAATCCAGACTACTGACACCATCATACATCACTAAATATTGCAATCTGTAGAGTAAAACAACATTCATTCACTTATGAAGATGTGCTGGACTAAACGAAACCTCACATACACTAGTACTAATATTTTATAATTGGATCTCAGAGTTGAAACACAGGGCACAGTCTTCATGTCAACATTCCTTTAAAAAATGGCACAACACAATCAAGATCAGCATTGTTTTAATTATGCCAAGCAACGTATTTCCCAATGAAGAAAATAATTCAGAATAGTCTATCCATTGTGTTCTGGTGTCCAGGAACTCAATATATATGTGTGTTATGCTTTTCATTTTATTCAAACCTTTTATTCCTTTAAGAGTGAGTGAGTGAGTTTAGTTTTACGCCGCACTCAGCAATATTCCAGCAATATGGCGGCGGTCTGTAAATAATCGAGTCTGGACCAGACAATCCAGTGATCAACAGCATGAGCATCGATCTGCGCAATTAGGAACCGATGACACGTGTCAACCAAGTCAGCGAGCCTGACTATCCGATCCTGTTAGTCACCTCTTACGACAAGCATGGGTTACTGAAGGCCAATATTTTAACCCGGACCTTCACAGGTTTATTCCTTTAAGAAGCATTTTCTAAGTAGTGTTAGACAATGGCTTTTTGCTGCTTTTAGCAATATTCCAGCAAAGTTGTGGCAGATGACAGTACCAATGGGCTCCACACACTGTACCAAAGTCGTAACCAAACCCTTATTTTGGGCATGATGAACTCATGAACCCACAGGCAACTGGACCACCTTGTACGCTCAGTAAAGGCAACCTTCATATAACCTGTCTATCACAATAAATACATCGACATTCCATATTACTCACTGGTCACACTGTGATATGCCAGAGCAACATTCTTCCCTTAAATCCAAAATATTAATTTGAATAGTTTAGAAAAGCAAATCAAATTTGTTATACATGAACCCTTGTGACCTGTGACAATGGGCTGACATTATCACATTTTCCACAGTGTATAATTTGTTTGGACGAACCTGGTCTCACTAAGCATGACCGACAGATCATGTGGGAACACACTAGTTTATAAACAGATTTAGATTTATCTAAATCACTGTGGCAACTGACACATGTTTCTCTCAACTCTTCACACTTGGTTGCAATGCTTTGTCTTTTTGTGAATGATGGCAAACCATTAAGAAGAGACATAGCTTGGCTCAAACTGGTGTTTAGTTGTGATTCATGAGAGGTTGGATGATGAGAATGGGAGTTACCTCCCCTTGATTGTGACAGCTTAGGTTGTGAACTGTTTTGATTGTTTTCTGACATTCCATTTGATGATACCACTGTTGATCTCAGAACTGAAGAGTCAGGTTTTAGTTTTTTGGAATGCAATTCACTTTCATGTTCATGAAAATCCATATTTCGTTTCAAATTTGAATTAGTACTGCAATGTGCTGTACTTGACACTGATGGAAATAGCGATGTCTGACTTGGTTTATTTACAATCTCTCCATGTTTTCTCCCAAGTGTTCTTGGCACAGATTTCAATTTCTCATTGTTGGAATTCTGCAACACAAAGGCATCAATTCTTGATTTCAGAGAATTGTTTGGAATTGGTTTGGAATCTGCAGAAAATGGAACTCCTGTGAAAGGATCATTAGGTTGTCGCCCCCATGAAGCTTCAGTGTCAATATATTTCTCTAGAGTTGATTGGTCAAGACTCTTTCCACATGGCAACAACATTGGCAACGCCATTATCTCACACATTATTGGGTCCAAGAACTCATCCGGTATTTCCAGACCTGAATGGGTTTCTAAGCTCGTATTAGGTTTTGTCTCTGTTGTATTTACTTTGTCAGCAATTTTTGGCATTGGAGTTATGCTTTCCAAGTATATTTTGTAGACTTTTTCAAGTATTTCTCTCTGATTTGAGACAGCAGGTTGGCCGAAGATTTGAACAGATTTTACAGCAGGGATGCATGAGCCACTGGTGCGAGTGATTCTGATTGTCAGTTGACTGACAGCTGTCAGGCACTGAGTTCGCTGATTTCTCAATTCGGACATCTGACATCCATTGGTACACATTCTGTCCACAGAGTAGGGCGGGGTTGCTACAAATCTTGGATATGTAAAACACAATCGTCCTGGTATGTCTGAACTGATTTTGCCAATATTGATGAAAAAAGGGCTGTCAAAAAGTCCTCCCCTTCTGCCATTTCTACCTGAATCAATGTCACCGAGCCATGAATTTATGATTCTGTTTGATGAGGTGTAGATTTCAATTGCTGTAGATTTCTGAGCTCCAACAACTGGGTTGATAAATATCTGATGGATAGAAATTTTACATGGAAATTTGTATGTAATGTTGACAGGGGGTTTTATGAAGTTCTCAGCCAGGAAACCTCTACGTTGGAGGGAAGAGTCTCGTGATGTCAGATTTTCAACCTCATATCCATCAGACGAGGGCTTGTCACATGACACTGATGGTTGAAGGCTCCAATGACCAAAATCTACCAGCATGCTTTTTTCGTTGAGGCCTGCAATCAAAACTTGTCAATTTCATCTTGTATTCGTCCACTTGTTCTTGCATGTGATGTTGATAGCATGGCTTCTGAAAAAGACATATCAACAAAGATATATTTAGCAAATTATCAAGCACAGCTTTCAGTAGTTCTAATTATCTGAGAGGTTCTAGGCTCTGGAAGCCTGGGTGCCTCCTGATTCTTAGCGTTAGTTTTGTTAGGGTCAGGGTAGCAACTATATCGTTAGACTCATAGCCCTTGGATCTTTAGGGTTAAGTACCCGGTGCCGATCAAAAACTTCATTAGTGCGACCAGTAAAGTCCACCACTCCCAAACAATCACATACACATCAAACATTTTGATTTTCATCAGGTATCTCAAAAGTGATCGAAAACTGAACGACACAATTAACTACTGCAATAAAGGCCAGTTTCTCAATACAGTTCAAATGTCTCAGTAGAATGAAGACTTTGACTTTAGCCTTAAATACATGTTTCGCCAATATACTAAGTATATGAACAAATATAAGTTTACATACATAAGAACAAAGTACTGTTGATTATAAGTGACTTGGGACGGGCGTCATCAAAGGGACAGAACTCTTTGTATACTATTCCCCACCAAATACATTGCAAGTATAGAAAATTTTAGCCTTCTGTCGATATTTCTCCACATACTTTTCGAATAAGGTCGCCTCTAACCCACGGCAACGATCTCACTATATTTAATGTAAATTTTACCATTTCAATTTTTCCAATGTATCAAGTTTTAGCAAATTAATGAACAATGAAAATGTAACCTGAGATACGATCAAGTATTAGTCTTAAAAAGTCTTCGAGTGAGTTTACAGGTTATATGACGGACAAGATTCATTCAGAGTTAATTGGTTTAAAGACAATTATTAAACACACTATGTCTTCAGTTAGCTTTTAAATATGTGCTACTGATAACTAGATGAAACTCCAGTAAACATATTTTACATTTAGGAATTAGTTTCTATTTTTTTAAATGTTGAAGATCAAAGAAATCACATTTCATAATGTCAACAGCTTGTCATTGCAAAACTGTCAGCCATTAGTGCAGTAAAATATAATCCTATCCAAATTACAGATACTACAGATTCATTTTGTACTGGCCATAAAATATTCCATTCTCATGACTGTATTTAATCAACGGATCTTAGAAGAACTGATCTTGTCCACGCAACCAAAAATCAGCAAGCTAAAAAGGTATGGATGTCATCTGGTTTAGATCATAAACTATCATCACTTTTTGAATAATAGCATAATTATCATGACCTTTTAACAAAATGATACCTGAATTTATTTATGAATCATTGCCCGTTATATTTTGGCCAGATGTTTTATGTCATCTTTAGCGTCTTTTTACTCTCCAATAGCATGTTTACAGCCTGCCTTGGTCACCCTGGTGATTCTTGATGCTATCCCTATATCTGTACACACTTAATATTAGACATCTGCAATGCAATCTGTACCGTTGCGTATGACAGATTTCAATTGTGAGATAATGTCTTCGTTTTGCTACGCAAATATGTTAGAATGTGCATAAAAACAGAACATATAATCTGTAAAGACATGGTGTTATTAGTAATTGAGGCTTCGAAAGTCATTTCGGTGTTTTCATAGTCAGAAACTTCGGTCGACGTAACTACTCAACAGACGTCTTGTATTTTGAATACTAGTTATTACAAAGTAGTATCTTAAAGCGCCCGGCTTAAGCTCCTAACAGCGTCTTGTTTCCCTGTACATAATGAGCTAAATGAACCGTAATGTGTAGCTTGCACTGTTGCAGAGTATAGAAGTGAATACTCTGCGAAGTTGGGTGTGTGCGACTTTCAACATTGAAAAATATTGTGGCAGTATATCTACAAAGTAAGTGATATTATTATTGAGATGTTCAACGTTCTATTCAATAACAAATTTGGCCACAAGTTTAGTATTGTGTGAGTTGACATTCTAACACGTTTCTTATGAGACAAAGTCAACATGATTTTAACTTCAAGAAACCCTGGTTCGATTCCCCACGTGGTTACAATTAATGTGTGAAGTAGTTTTCTGGTGTCTTTGATATTGCTGGAATATTGGTGAAAGCAGCATAAAACACTCACTCTGACTATGTACACAGGGCGGTGGGGTAGCCTAGTCGTTAATGTGTTATCTTGTCACGCTAGAGACCCGGGTTTGATTCCTCACATGGGCACAATACAATGTGTGAACCCATTTCTGGTGTCCCCCACCGTGATATTGCTGGAATATTGCTAAAGCGGCATAAAACCATACTCACTCACTCACTCACTCATGATGATAGAACTTTGATATAAAGGGACACAACTCTGCAGTGTAAACATGTAGATGTTGCTGTTTAAACAGAAAACACAGACAGGTTGAAAATGAAGTTAGAACACCATAACTGGTCTGGAGGACCATGCACAGAACTGGAGGAGCATGATCAGGACTGGAGGACAGTGCTCAGAACTAGAGGACAGTACTCAGAACTAGAGGTCCATGCTCTGAACTGGAGGACCTTGCTCTGAACTGGAGGACCATGCTCTGAACTGGAGGATCATACACGGAACTGGAGAACAGTGCTCAGAACTAGAGGACCATGCTCAGAACTAGAGGATCATACACAGAACTAGAGGACAAGGCTCAGAACTAGAGGACCATGCTCAGAACTAGAGGACAGTACTCAGAACTAGAGGACCATGCTCTGAACTGGAGGACCATGCTCTGAACTGGAGGATCAAGCGCGGAACTGGAGAACAGTGCTCAGAACTAGATGACAATGCTCAGAACTAGAGGACCATGCTCTGAACTGGAGGACCATGCAAAAAAATGGAGGACCTTGTGCTCAGAACTGGAGGACCAGTGCTCAGAACTGGAGGACCAGTGCTCAGAACTGAGGACAATGCTCAGAACTAGAGGACCATGCTCTGAACTGGAAGACCATGCAAAAAAAATGAGGACCATGTACACAGAGGATTGAGGACCATGCTGAGAACTGGAGGACCATGGACAAAACTGGAGGACAGTGCTCAGAACTAGAGGACAGTGCTCAGAACTAGAGGACAGTGCTCAGAACTAGAGGACAGTGCTCAGAACTGGAGGACCATGCTCTGAACTGGAGGATCAAGCACGGAACTGAAGGACCATGCACAGAACTGGAGGACCATGCTCAGAACTGTGGGACCATCATCCAAACTGGAGGTCCATGCTTGGAGCTTTAGGACCATTTCATCTGTTCAGGGGAATTTTCAACAAAGTCATTCTAATGAAATAAAAATTTGGAAAATCTTCTAGATACTTTCTTTAACTGTTAAACTGGCACCAAAATGCGAAAACATTAGCTTTAAGTGTTTACCCAATATATTCATTTGAGGAAAATATTGACAGAAACATCTGGTCTCCCTCACCTAATTTCAAGGCATATGTAATTTGGCACTCCATTTTTTATGTCAAAGCTGTGTCTTGTAATCAGACCATGAAGGCCAAATGAACTGGTTCCTGATACCAATTCCTGTTTTTGTGTTCAGTCCACTTTTTTTAAGACATTTGAAACAAGATTGAAATCTCAGCTGCTGCAGTATCTTGAAACCAAAGACATTTAAAAAAAGATTCCATTTTTTTAAAAAGAAGATGTATTGAAAACCAGTTAACTCTGGAGTGTTGCCTGTTTCCATTTCGCTACATATGTAGAAAATTTCTGTTCCAGAGAAACTGTTTGATTTATTTTACTGATGAGCACGCCGTAGTCAATAATAAGATGAGGATGGTCAAGTGACTGGTCAGTTGCTGTTCTTAATAAAGTGTTGACTGTCAGGATCTGCTGGTTGTGGTGTTCTAACTTCATTTTCAACCTGTCTGTGTTTTCTGTTTAAACAGCAACATCTACATTTTTCAACTGCAGAGCTGTGTCCCTTTATATCAAAGTTCTATCATCATGAATTTAAACCCAGATTTGTGATGATTTAGATTTTCAAGTGTTTTTGTTTACGCATTATGGCTCTAACACTATTGAGTAAAATATTGCTAAACATAGTATATCAGGGCTCAATTCAAGGAACACAAAAATATTCATTGTCTTAGATACGTCAGCAATTAGGAAACATGCAAATTTCAAGTTAGGAAAAAATGCACATTTTGATAAAACAACTGTAATGATTTTTCCATTTCTGTTAAATTCATCTTATCTCTTATCATCATTTTGGATTTGTTGCATAAACTAAGAAGCTAACCCAACCAAATCAATGTGGTGCCACTGTTTATCTGACTTGTGTACATTTCTGACCACAAACCTCCCAGTTGATAACCGATAGGTCATCTTTTGGACAGGATGTGATCGACACCTCATTCATTGGGAAATATTCCTCACAAATGTAGGGCTTCTGTTTTCTTCCGAGTTGAGCCTGTTGACAAATACATTGTATGGATTATGTCGGACACTCACTGTTGAGGTGCTGCACGGGTCAACAGGCGGCTGACCGGAAATTAATATTGGAAAAGAAATTAAATCCACAGTTCTTCCATCATTTCTGTACTGAATGTTAGAATAAATGTAGAGTGGGTCTCTTGGTTTTTGTTAAATTATTTAAAAATTTTGAACCATTGATCTGCATGGTTAAATCATGAATGCATGAAATGCAGAAATATTCAGATATTGGTGGACATGAGTGGAGAACGACATGACAAGTCTTTGAAAGAATGTGTTAAAATGTAATGTTCTATCTGAAGATCAAGTTTAAGGTTATTAAAAATAAAAAGATACCCAATGATTAAATTACTTTCTTACCCTCAAAGATTCAGGTTAGAACTGGTTTTCATCACCCAATTTTAGTTGAAAGAGGGAATTAACAAGATTTTGTAGTCAAGGTCACTTCTGTTGTTTATATATGTCATTGTCTTCCAATTGCATAGGTGTCATGATGTCAGTCGCAGAATTTTATGTTCTACTATCATGCTATGACTGCTATCATATTCATGAATGAGTCAGTAAACAATGAACAACAAACAAACGTTCTTGCTTGATTATATGAAGTGTTTTAGATATAACAAAATAGTGATGTGACATTGTGCACAGTTGAAAATCACAAGGATTGTAACCATTATTCAGCGTTCGAAATACCCCATAATTTGTTATTCACGATCACAGGAATTTAATATTAATAACAACTTTAAAAGGTGTGTTTTTACTTGAATTTGGGTATTATTTATCAAAATGACATATGCAAAATGGAATAGTTCCAAGCCAGACAGGATATTGCCTAACACTTTTATAAATTTAATTGAACAGTATTGTGGTCACTGGTCATTGTCAACATGGTCAAAACACTTCAAATAATTAATTTGTTATTGTTTCACTGAATTTATTGAATATCCCCCCTTCTCATGACTTCCTATTGTATTTATGGTCCAGTATTCCTGTTCGTCACCCAGTAATCGATATATATGAATCATATTCATCTCATTTGTTACAGCCTGAGTAGACACTGAAAGACTCTGGACTCCTTTTGATTATAGTCTATAAAGAATATTTAGGAGCTGATTTTTCTGTGTTTTTTATTTAATTTCAGAGACGAAATGTTAGTCTAGGAGAAAACAACTATTCTCCATATATATTCATTAGTCTTGGACTAACAGACTGATGGACATGTCAATCCTGCTTACAAATAGCGGTCGACAGAGTAGTCCAAGTGGTGGAAGTGTTTACATGCCACCCAGAAAACCAAGGTTTGATTCCCATGAATAAAATGTGTTTTAGGGGTTGTCTCATTCAGTCTCGAGTCTTTATGAAAGAGTTATCTGTGGATTAGCCTTCTTAGGTGTCACTATTCACTTTGCAGAGTTACATCCCTTTTGCATACCAGAATCCTGTGACAAGCACCATAGTAATAAACTTTGTTTATAATGAACATTTATAATGAACTGACCGATATCCTGGAAACTTGCTTTATCTTTTAGTCAAAATGTGTACAACAA